TACAACTCGGGTTTGGCTCTAAAGGCGGCTGCGAGGCTGCCGTACATTCGCTCCGAGCCTTTGCAGAGTCCAAGGGTGTTGAGGTAATCTTAAAAGTCGACGTCAAAAACGCTTTCAATGCCATTGATAGGGGCATCATGCTGTCAGAAATTAGACTGAGGGCTCCAGCTTTATATAACTTTATGTGGCAGTGCTACAGCAAACCTTCAAAACTTTTATGTGAAGACCACCTCCTGTCCTCCTCAGTCGGATGCCAGCAGGGTGACCCTCTCGGCCCAGCCATTTTTAGTCTGGCTATACACCCAATCATCGACCTTCTAAATTCTAAATTAAATGTCCACTGTCCTCTCTGATATTCTTATGCTTACCAACGAGTTCAGCAAAATAGGACTGGAACTAAATTTTGCAAAATGCGAGATTTTTGTTCCATAAAGCCTCGACAACAGGGAGGCAATCATTTCTGAATTCCAACTAATAGCTCCAAGCATAAGACTGTAAGATAAGAAATCACTTTGCCTCCTAGGGTCCCCGATTTTTGAAGAATCACTCTCAGATTTTGTAGATCAAAATTTAAAAAAATATGAAGAAGTTTTTGAACCTTTACTCAAAATTAACTGCCAAATGGCTTATGTCATAATCCGGTACTGCCTTTTCGTCCCTAAATTTACATATGTCTTGCGATGCTGTCCACTTTGGAAATTTCCCTCTCTCTTAACAAAGTTGGACGGTGTCATAAGACATACTCTCTCCTCTGTCTTAAATATAAAATTTGACCTCCGTTCCTGGACCCAAGCATCACTCCCGGTTAGGTTCGGTGGTTTGGGTGTACGCAACACTTCGGACGTCTCCCTCCCGGCCTTCATTTCTTCCATACACTCTACCGAACCACTCGTTGCGAAAATACTTGGGCGTCCTTTGAGCGTGTCCTTATTCTCGCTTCTAGATGAAGCCGTAGCAGCTTGGAGTACAGCCTGCCCTGACACCGACGTCCCGACGGACTCTGCCTCCCAGCGACTTTGGGACGCGCCACTCTTCAGGCTGAAACGCAATGCACTTGTAGAATCAGCTAGCAGTCCCGCAGACCGTGCGCGTCTCTTAGCCGTTGGCGAGTGGGAGTCTGGTCTATGGCTGCAGGTACTGCCTTCCGCGAATGTCGGTACGCTACTGGACCGCTCAACTTTTCGCATCGAGTCGAGACTCAGAGACCCTGGGGATCCGGTGCCCATCTTTTCAAAGATATAGCGAAAAGATTGGTGAAGACCACTAGAGATCGCAGAGCTGGCGGCTATTTCGCCCAGCGCATAAACCTCGCCAGTCAGCGGGGAAATGCCGCCAGCGTCCTATAATCATATAGGACGCTGGCATTATAGGAATCTTTGCCGACGGGGAAGACTTAGGGCAGCTATTTTTTTAATATTTTTAATTTTTGTCTAGTTTTAGTGTAGTTTTAGTTTAATATCTAAATGTAAATTGTTTTTTTAAGTGATTTGTGATATATGTAGTTACTTTTAGTTATAATAAATTTTTAGACTTTTCTCTTTTCTTGATTCTAAGATTCTAAATCAGAACGCACTTTGCGATCCTCTTCGAATCTAACCCTTGCAGTCCCACTCTATTCAACTGATTTCTTTTCATATTCTTTCTCTGTGCATCCTGTTTGCCTATGGAACTCACTACCTGAAACAATCCGAAAGGCTCGCACTCTAAGTTCGTTTAGTAATGAAGTTAGAGGTTATTTCCTTTCCCAACTTTAAATCTTACCTCTCTCTTGTCTGTCCCTTTGGATATATGTATTGTATTTATTATTCACAATTTATTTACCATACCTGTTACACCCCCTTCTTGTTCCTCTTATTTATTTATTTCACTGTCATGGGTTGCCTGCAAGAGATTGCTGTTTAGCAATAAGGCCGCCTATTGTGTACGTTTTCACTGTCATGTTGAATATCTTGTATGTCCTGTGAGGTGTATGTCAATAAAGAATATTATTATTAATTATTTTTTTAATACGCCTGGCAAATAAATCCATCCTACGTTATCATCCTCAACCTATTAATGTCCCAACTGCTGGGGCACAGGCCTTTCCTATGGATGGAATAGGGAGATTGGGCCATGATCCAACACGCGGGCCCAGTTGGGATTAGCGGGTACTAACCACTGCAGATGCAGCCGGGACCAACGGCTTAACGTGCCTTCCGAAGCAAGGAGCTTCTCGAGATAGAAGTTTTTTGGTCACCCATCCAATGATCGACCACTGCTAAAGTTGCTTAACTTCAACAATCGCAGCCGAACGCGCTAACCACCTGCGCCTCCTTTTAGATTACGTTTATATTTTGTACTTCCTTTACTTTTCTGTCACTATTTGACACCTGTCTTTTGTTGATAGATCATTATTATTGTCTTATCTTTATTACTGCTTACGAACGCAACGTTGATATTCTGAACAGAAAATTATTACTTATTTACTGCTACGTGTCGTTTCTCTACATTAATCTCATTTAAGCTTATTACAGTCCACCGCTTCACAACACCTATATTAAATATGGAAACGTTTATTTATTTATGTTGTACAACACATATATTGTCTGCTTTCTACTTCTTGTGTTTTTGTAGTAAGCTTCCTGCATTGGTATCTATGTTACCACCATCTGTATTACCACTGAACAAAGCCATTGGATATTGAGTCTCGTTTCCGTGTGTGAAGGCACAAGATAAAATAATCGCGGCATACGCTTGTGGTTGTGTAATTTTATTGTTAGTGAAATTTTCGAAAGCTATCTATAATTGATAGCGTTACACGTTTAACAAAGGCATTTTAAACTTGTCTGCGTTAATTTCATCCCCTACGATGGGAAGACCTGGAGCTCTATCTTTGAATCACACGCCTTGCTCGAACGCTCGATTTATACTTATTATGATTCGACATAATAAATTCCGTATTTTTGAATCGCTCGACATTAACGAGCGGTCTCGACCACTTGTTGCGCGTTGGCGAATGATGGAGGCGAATGGTACAATCATTGTCAAATTTACGTCAGATATCTTCAAGATTTTTTCTCAAGCTTTTTAAAATACATTTATGATGACGATTTGTTTGCGACGATTTGATTTTTCTAACAAAAAAGGCAAAAGATTAAATAACCAGTTATTGAGAATAATAGGCTAGTTGACCCTTTTTGGAAAAAGGTTTTAAATGGTTATAATATAAAAAAAAATGTATTGTAGTATTTTGATACCTAGAGAGCTACAAATCTTTAATTTTAAAATAGACTTTTCATGGACATACAAAAACGCTGTCGGCCATTTTAGTCTATAGATTATCTATGCTACGACGTCAACTGTAGTAAACAAAAACTCGTAAACACGTAGAAAATAAATCTGAGTCTATAATAAAAAAAACATGATTTCTAATAAATACCATGAAAAATAAAGTAATTATCATTATTGTATTGTACGAGAATATAAAAACACATCCTTGAAGACTCCAGGAAAGTTGTGGATTAAAGTGCCGAAAGAAATTAACCTACGCAACTTTATTACATTTTCATATGTTGTATCAGTTTTATTTTTATTACTACATTGTAATACTAAATGCACTGTAAGTACAGTGCTATGTAAGTACATAGATGCCTTGTCATTTCTCTGCTCCGCAGAGCAGAAATCGGGGATTAGTGCAAAAAATTCACCAACCATCAATGCGTCAATTCTTGGCAGATTTGTGCTTTCTGCTTTCACAAAGCCGGCATCCATAATTAGTTTTGTCAAAAAAAAAACAATAAACTTAAACTTTTCTAAAGTTAAAAGTGTTTTAAGATAAATTTAGTGAGACGAAAGAATCCACCCACAGTAACACGCGAATGACATTTAGTTGTTTACCACAAGAGACGTCACAATCATGGCGGATGTGGCGAACAGCGATTTTAGTGTTTAAAAAATATAGACTAAAAATTGTGGGTGTCAGCTCCGACGCACGACTGGAGTTTACTCCTTAAGTTCGATAGTCTAACCAGACGCAATGTCCATCCGTCATCTTTGTTTGTCAAAGTTGCGCGACATAGGATGCGCACCAAAAACGTAACGAGGTCATTCATCGATAGATTTTACTTCTCACATTTTTCTCATACCATCATTTTTCTCATATCATGCAAATCGATTCTTAAGGAGTAAACTCCAAAAATATTTTCTAAAATTATATTTCTACAGCAATCTTCTGCCTTTATGAAGTGAAATCGATATATTTAGGTTCCTTAGACCAAATACTTTAAGAAATAAACATTTATTTAATACAATTCGACATGAGTAAACTAGCCTATTACAGCGGTAAAGACTGCTTTTTATCTTTTTTCGTGAAATTAATAAAAATAAATATTTTGTATTAAACTGGTAACACTATAGATGAACGATTCAGAAATACGGAAAATCAGTATCATCCGACTTGGAAGTCGAAAGTGACTTAAGTCGCATTCGACGATACTATGTCAGGCGAGCGAATCAAAAATAGAGCTCCTGGTCCCGTTACACATTAACAGAAGTAAGACACTATCAAAAGGTAGTGTTAATTCACTTTGTTACTCCGTAAGGTGGGACTTATTACCCCGGGAGCAATAATTATATAGAGTAGAATATCTGCCTTGGTTGTAGGCCGAAATCATTTGTCGAGTAGCGACCTAACAGTCTTTCTGCATCTAAAGATAAATTTTACTAGAAATTTTCACGTGGTTAAGGGACTCAAACCAGCACCCTCCGCTATCCGGGCGATTGCACTGACCTTTATGCTACCGAGGCCCTAATGGCCGTGTCCAATTCCTTCTAGTATTTCTTAGGCAGCAAGGCAGTGCCATCTCTACGCATCATTTTCTTTGGATTTTAGATTTAAACAATGTTTAAATGTCTACAAAAATAAAGAAAATATAGGTATAGTTTTCACGCTTCCTTGCTTTACTCCCAGTCCAATTAAATGAAGTAATCAAGAATTTATTTAAATTTGAAGAAAAGCTTACAGTTTCTCCTCGAGCCGGCTGGTGTCGTCGGGGCTTTTCACCGAGTGCTGGCTCTCGCTGTCCACATCCTTCACCTATAACAAAATCAGCAACAACTTTGTAAATTAAATAGAAAACAATAGCAAAAAATCAGTAAGTCCCATTCGGACTCGAGAACACGTAACAAGGACGTTATATTGAAAGTATTACACCTACAAAGTTAAAAACAATTTTGCAATACAATCGTTTAGATTTTAAAAATACTGAATATGAGACAGAGACTCCATATATTTTAAGGTAAGTTCAAAAAAGGAGAGCATTATATTGCTGGTTGTTACTGAAAAAGGGGGGTTTTTAAATTTACATTGCGCCGTAGAATCGCGAATTTTATTCAAAAATAATTGTAAGAACAGGTTAGGTTAGGTCAGTGAACAAAAATATTGTTTATATTCGGAAAATGCTTTATTATTGTTTTAAAACTGAATCAGAAAGGAACTCTTTACTGTTGTGCTACTAAGCGGGGTGGAATAGTGTATGGAAGTCTGCTGTTTTTTTATTTTCTTTTTTAATTATATATGTTCCGTAAGTGGTTAGTATGATTTTGCAGACTTTGCGATCTATGTTTTTAGCATTTTGCTATTTGTTATCTGAACATAAATATTGAAAAAAAGAATAAAAAGCAAAAAGCGCGCTAATTATTGTATTTCAAGTAAGTTTTTAATTTGTTCTGTCAACTCGAGACGGAGTATGTGACTGTTAATTAAGATTTTTTGAAGAATTATAAGAAACTACCTAGGCAGGCAGTCATTGAGAACCTATTACTCGTGAAATCAAGATATCAATATAAAGCTCCCAGGCAAAACTTTAATAACTGTAACAACTTTAATATAAATTTCAATTAAAGAATTTGTATTTTATTTCTTCGCAGGTATAGTATAAAGCAATTGTAGCTTGAATAATATTTCTCATATATATGTGTATATCTGTCCCTAGGGATACATAGTGCTTTATACTTTGCACAAACTACACCCTCATTGATAATCGGTCACTTTTTTCCTCGGTTGACAATTTACTATTATGTTTCTGCTAATTTTTCAAACGCGGTGTTTCTTATTTTTACAACTCTACTTCCATTATAGCATTGAACGCACATACTCAACCTACTGTTAAAACGGCGTGATTTAAATTACATAATAAAATGTTGCGTGTGTTATAGTAATAATACCAACTTTAAGTTCACATTTGCTTACGTATTCATGCGATAATATTACGGTAACTAACTGTATGGGCTATAACAATTAAAAGTTTATCGTCAATATGTTTCGTTGATAAAATAGATGAATGTTAAACTTCACAGTATTGGTGGAATTACTGCGTGAAAGAAACATTGGTTTTAGGCAGTCTTTGAAGCTTGAATAATGTTTCCTTCAGTTCGTTTTGAATTTTAAAGTAAACTGAAGAAATCTTTAGGAAATATATGAACTGTGCTCAAATGCCAACATCAATGAAAGATCAAATCTTGTTCCCTAAACCATGTCAGTTAATTAGCATCACTCATTATTATTGTTTTTCATAGTAAAAAATAATGGTACAAAATCTGTTAGAGATAGCATCGTCTGCTGCCCGCTCCGCTAGTTGGAAATAATGACACTGAATTCAAGTACTTATATACTTACCTACCTACTCGTAAGTGCTCGCAAACTTCTGGTTGTATACAGGGTTGTCCGCAGTTTATTTTCATATTTACTACACAATATTTATTTTTTATGTCTTTTGTGTAAAGACATAAAAAATAAATATTGTGTAGTAAATATGAATAAATATATCTGGTATAAAGGACAATGTTAAAATTGGCCTAAGAACCAACACCAATTTGGCATTTATGATAATTCTTAGTATATTTTTTGCGATAATAATCAGTATTTAGATTGTGACGGACACTTCCAGTTAAGTAAGCTAAATTAAAAAGTTAATAAATAATCTGAGACAATAAATACCATTTTATATGTATAATCTATGGCAGCGCTGCAAACAAAACACTCTTTCTTCCTAATGCTGGCACTTCACTTCGCTACTCGTATTTGCTATTTTAAAACATGACATCAGTGTGTCCTTTTCATTCCTTATTAAGCATGACAAGAACAAACTTGTCAAGTGAAGGGCCGGCATAAAATTCGTTACTCTGTGGTTGTGGTGCATGCAGTTTGCATTCGTAGTTATCTGTGGCATTCCTGCATTCCAAAAAGTAGTTTATTATACCGGAAAGTGCATTCTCGTTTCGGATTACCCATTGTGTGTGTTTATTTGCGATTGTTTTTCCTTTAGCAAATAAAGATTATGATTTATGATTTAATTTAACTATTTCGGCTATCTAATATGCCATCGATGTTACCAAAGAGCAGAGCCCTTATTACCAAGTGCTAGTGAACCTGTGCCACAACATCCTTAGAGGATCATACTGCCATATTATTCAAGAACACCTGATACACATTCACGCGGCATATTTACACAATATACATGTGATATACAAATAAATACAATATGATAAAATTATGTGAAAAATAGTCAATAAATAAGAAGCAAAACTACAGTTTTTATTTTATTCATGATTCCTACCTAACCAAGTTTTTCTTAATATTACAAGTAATTCATTTTATTGGGTGCGATTTTAAAGAATATCTCTTTAAAATCGCACCCAATAAAATGAATTAGTTGTAATATTAATTCACTTCATACTAAGTTCATAGGTTGACCTATGTTTCATTGAATATTAAACATAACCTCAAAAAAGAAATAGTTTTCCTAATAATTTAAGTTCTCAGAAGTGTCCGTCAATAATCTTTGTTTTTACAGTCATTTACTTAAGATTTTGAACCTAGAAAATAATATTTCATGATTGTTGGTTCTTAGGCTAACTATGTATGGACGCTGAACAATGTCCTTTGAAAACTTTAATATTTTTTTTTCACAATATGTAACAGTTTATATCAACTTCAACGGAAACTATAAAGGCTCCTTATTGGCTAAATAACTCTAAAACTCTGTTCATCAGCCTATTAATGTCCTCACTGCTGGGGCACAGGCCTTCCCTATGGATGTAATAGGGAGATTGGGCCATGACCCATCACGCGGGCCCTGTGCGGATTGGCGGGGGCTAACAACTGCATCTGCAGTTGTTAGCACCGGCTTAACGTGCCTTCCGAAGCACGGCGGAACTCGAGATAGAAGATTTTTGGTCACCCATCCAATGACCGACAACTGCGAAAGTTGCTTAACTTCAACGAACGCACCCGAACGCGTTAACCACCTGCGCCATCGAGCTCCCCATGACCAGTTTACACACAGTTAAATAATTAAAGTACTAATGACAGCCCTAGTCATCTCTAAGTACGCTGTTATTATAATGCAAGGCAAGACAATGACAACAGAGATGAGATAAAGGCATAAAGCGCATATAATTGCAGCGCGATAGAGATGGCGGCACACAGTAGACGAAAAATCTGTGTATCAGAGTACCCTTTATTATGCTTAATTTTGGTACCTATGCAAAGTTAAAGCGTAAGTTTATGTCAATTAAATTGACAAACCCTTGGATTTAATAATGTCATCAATAGATAATTTTACAAAATTGAATACTTTAAAAAACTATTTTGCAATTCTACGAATAAAAGGGGACTTTGATTCTTCATTGACTGTGTGACGTCGCGTGCGCATGCCGATGAACGACCTTCGCCCGCCTAACGATGACGATAGCGATTTGGGACCAACTGCTAGATAATCATACAACATGGCATTAAGTTAGGTTATATTGTAAAACCTGTATTATATTCAGAAAATGCTATGGATTTTGGTCTAGAATTAAATAAACAATAAAAATAAACATACATCTAATATATAAAATTCGCGTGTCGCGGTGTTTGTGGTTAAACTCCTCCAAAACGGCTCGACCGATTTTCGTGAAATTTTATATGCATATTCAGTAGTTCTGAGAATCGGACAACATCTATTTTTCATCCCCCTAAATGTTAAGGGTGGTCCCTACTTAAACAATTTTTTTTGGACCATCATCATTAAAAAATAAAAACAACCCTAAATTTTCACCCTTCTACCACCAACCCCTATTTTTTATGGCGGTACGAAGTTCGCTGGGACAGCTATATAGTAGGTATTTCTATAGATATTCAATATACGGATGGTGACATTGTAATGCTCCATACCTATATAAATAATTATAAAAAAGTGGCTTCAGACTTTCTCATTTCAGAACCAATACAATATTAAAAAAAAGAACAAGGCCAAGACACAATAGAACGTGACGTAAGCGGTATTCGAAAATTTAAAAAAATCGAAAATTGAATGCCGTAGAATGAAAACCGAGGTTCCCTAAGCGATGCGTGTGGAACTGAATTTTCTTTCATTGAATTTACGTCCTTCAAATTTGTTTGTGTAGCTTTTGTAAAATTGTTTTTTCGTTATATAGTGAAAAGCTCTTCCATTGTTTAGTTTTTGTTTATTTGTTGTTAATTTTTCTTTGTATTCTAGATATAAATGCTGATTCATTATATATACATAGTATTTAATACACCCGTGTGAAGCCGGGACGGGCCGCTAGTATTTTATAATTTTATTAAAAATTGGTCAGAGCATTCGCCCGGATAGCAGAGGGTGCGAGTTCGAGTCCCTAGTCTGCTGCCTAGCCGGCGTGAATATTTTATCTAGTAAAATTTTCTTTATATAATTAAATGTTACTTAAATAGGTACTTCCTTTTTTAAATAATAATCCAAGTTTCATATCGGTTCCGTGGTTACAAAAAATTAAAGTCTACTTATTACTAAAGATTTACTACCTGTTAGTGCCTGAGCTTAGTGGATATTGAAATGATAAAATTGTTACCGTAAATTACACGTTTGTTACTTGTTCACAAATGTTCTTAAAAATACTACAACAATGTTATTATGTTAATGAGTGCATCCGTATAGGCGTCAAATCTACACTAATTTATATTTTTCTCTGTGCATCGCGGCTAATGACCTAATTAGGCCAGGCGCTGCGACGGTGTTAATTATTGCAAATCTTTTGCAAATATGCAAAATA